GCTTTATCTATCATTCTATTGAATTTCTCTGATAACCAAACTGATGGAGTTGTTATTAAGACTCTTATCAACCTAAGAGAGATTCTAAGATTGTTGTGTTTTTATTCATGAGACTAGGTAACATTGTTCGGTAACGCTACGAATTCAAATTCAAAATCGACTTGTTCTCTTCCTGAGATACATTGTTCAGTTGAATAAAAAGCGAACATAAAGCCTTATTTCCCCAATAATAGCGGGCTATATACTTAAAACTAACACAAGCAAGCAACATAATCTGTTTCTAGGCTTGCTTTAGGAGCTGTAACCTTGCGATTTTCTCAAAACCTTCGCATCGTGTTGTGACTTCAGCTATCTGATGTCAGATTGTGGCTAATGACTGAATTTCAGTACAAAGTAAAATCAAAACGATCGATGGAAGCGAATCTGGATGAAGAACGGTTGTTTTTATCTATGGTAAAGCCTTGAGGATTCGTAAAGCAGCGAACGAAAGTGAGTACATCCTATGAAGATCACAAGGCTGCCCCATGAGAAGGGAGACATTGTAAGTTAGTTCACGGTTTGGACAGCGGATTCTTCAGCCGCTTTTTGAGATTTTCGTCGATTTGCTCGCCTTTCCTGTGTTATCGGCGGTTGAAAACTTGCTTATGCATTCAGCTTGGCTGGGCAAATAAGACGTGGCTCGTGTTTGGTTTGAAATTTACTTTTTTCGCATACTGCGGTATCTTCTATTTAGAAACGTTCAAGCATGCCGATGACAAACATATTGTGTTTATGATAAAATTCTTACGAGAAATCAGAGTTATAGACCATCGTCATCCTTGGAAAGCCGAGCAGTCCATCTACCCTTCAAATAGGGCTAAGGTCCCGACGACTGCCAGATATTTCGTAAAGCCGAACTGAGCACAAAGCCCCTCCGCTCAGCGTTGGCCGAACAGGAAACTAGGCAAAATATCGCATGCGCGGCGTTTGTCACACATGACCAAGTGATTGAGTCTTGGGGTCGGCAAAAACACGTGCTACATGAGAAACTAGAAGCCAACAGCTGTCGGCCGCCCGAAAGCTTGAAGACCCTTGAAAGCCGGCCTAAATTTAACGTAACCTGTACTTATTGGCAGGTGAAACTTCAAATGCTTATAGATGTTCCAAGGAAATGTCCCTGAGTGTACTTCAAGGTTATCTTTTACCATTGACAAAATTTACAGGACCGTAATAATTCGAATAGGCCTAAGGACTTATTCAAAACTCGATCCACAAGATTTTGGCAAGAGACATTATAAGAGAGGGGGCTTATTCAAATTTAGATTTTTTAAGGGGGTTTATTGAAACACAGCTTATACATAAAAATAATAAGATCTGTAACCCCCCCCCCCCCCCCCAAAAAACTGTATAGAAAAATGAAATAAGCTTTTTGAGCCTCCATGTTGCTCTCTAATGCAAAAATTTGAGCAGTGCTTATTTGGGAATGGGAACTATTCGAGAGGAGGGCTTATTCAGAACTCGATGCTTAAGCCAGAGCAAATGGGTAATTCGAGAGGGAGAATCATTCGATATGCTGGCTGGAAAAAATGTTATCATTTCCCAAACATTTTTCAGTGGTTTGCTTCTAGAAAAATTTGCTATTGAGCTTTTTCAATTCACGACTCATCAACAAAACAATGGATTAAATGTGATTTAAAAAGGGCATGTTCTAGCAATGCAAAAAGTTTTAAGACAAAAAGGTCTTTGAAGCAATGGAACTCAAAAAAGTGTACATTGCTGTAAGATAGCTTTTCCAACATTTGCTACATTTGTTCTACCAACGACGGAAAATTCATAGAGAAGGCCAGTAGTTTCCATGAATTTCGATAGCTATTTGAGAAACCAGAGCTAGGGAGGGTGAAAGCTATTTGAGATTCGAATCATGATTGATGGAAAGGATCAAATAATTGCATTTCATTATAATGTTTACTTTGTTGCTCAATTGAATTTATCACTCTGCCTATAAGAAACACAGGGGACGGAGGATAAACAAATATTCTGTTCGTGCTTTGTTGGCCAGTTGCTTGAGATATTTCCCTTGAGCAGAATCTGTCACACTCGTTTCATATAAAACAGCTCAGAAGAAGCTTTAGTCTAAAAATTCTAAACTCTGCCAGAATGGATCAGTGGTAAACTAGAAAATGCTTTTTCCTTTTACGCTAGATTTTTAAGAACTTGGACGTGTTTCAAGTTCAAGGGGCATTTCACTATGACAAAAGGGTTTCTAGGGATTTACTGATATGAAAATAGGATGTACGTTATTTTCTATGGAGTAATTTGTCCCTCGTCCTAGCTGTTTAGATTGAGCAGCAAAGAGATAATGCCATTAGATTTTTATTGGATACTACAATCACTTTATTGGATACTGTGTGAAGTATGAAGCAAACCAAGGTACCGCTTTATTCAAGTTTCTGGCAGCTGCTACCCTATCGTTTGAAATTTCATTTTTTTGCAGTGACGATGATAAGTCATTTAGAGATTATCTCCCCCATCAATTAATAATTAGTTTTCCTGTATAAGTGACGATCAAGGGCTCAGATGTTTCCAATTATGCCTCTGTTGGATATTATTTAGATTATTTGGCCTGCCAAACCAAAAGGAGACTTACTGAGATTTGTATTGAGTTGGCAGGTCAGCAATTTTGAAATCTATTCACACAAGTATTCTTGACGCAAACAACAGAAGTTATCAGCTTGTGATTGCTGGTTATCTATTGATTTTGCTTTGATTTAGCCTGGAAAGCACATGATCAAGCGTGAATTGCGTCGACTTGCCGTTACCCGCAAGTGGAGACAAGGTAGCTCTCGTCTAAATTTTAAAGAAATCCATTGTACCAATCCATTTTAGGTCTTTTTCAATGGGTAAGATATATTGTCAGGTTTTCTAAAGATACATTTTGTATTGGGGGCTGCAAGAAGTGTTTAAGTCTATTGTTAATAATTCAAGTAAGAAATAGTAGCCCTTAACCCCCTCTCCACGAATCTGACGAGCCAGGTTATCCAGCTTCAGAAAGGGTTCTGATAACCAAGTGTGCAGCAGACTAAAACAGGTCAGACCAATTTACTGTCCACATCACACAGAAACAATTGTCATGAAAAGAGCAATTCTCTGTCCAAAAGATACTGTTTTTTGGTAGATTGTTGGAAAATTTGAACCGTGTATCGCATAGACTTCTTCCCCAGAATCTTGCTATTTTGGGACATTTTTGACTGGTGGTTTAGATGACCCTGCATAAAATACCGCAAAAGTCCTCGTTTTATCCTAGTTAAATTTCATTTTCCTTTGAATATTGGATTTTGCCTGGACTGAAAGTATGTTTTTTATTTAGTGTGAGATAGAGGCTAAGAGAGATGACATATTTACGAATAGGGCACATTAGGAATATATCCAAAATGGGGCCTGATTCGAGGAAACTCACAGGATGTGTCGGCAAATTTGAGATTCTACATTGTTGTTCTTTCGCAAGAATTTAAGCATGTGAAACATTAATTCCTTGTTCTATAGGTGTTACTTAGCTATTTGTTTTCTTTTCTTGCATATTTACAATTATCAGATGTTTTAATGCTAGAAATTTACATAAATTTAAAGCAAGAAAATTCAAACTGATGAATTAGAGGCGAATGTAGCCATTAGTAGGGAAACGATTTTATCCTGAATTTAAATTATTAACTTTTGAGAACTGCAAAAGTTCATTGTTCAAATATGCTATATCTGTAGATCGAAAATCCTTGCAAACATGTATCAATAATGAAATGATGAAACATTTTTCAAAGTTTAATGCAGCATTGCTGACGATGGCACTAAACGGTATCAGCTCTGAAAGTAGATGGTGTTATCCAAATAGACTCTTTGAAACTTCAACACTCGCTTATAAAGTGAAACGATTTCGGATTCCCATGACGTGACGGATTTAAAGACCGGACTAGTTCGTCCAAACCCTGAGATTTTCGTAAATCGCAATTCTTACTTGCCCGCGCAAATTTATACTTGTAACGACTTTGAAGTGATACATTTTGCAACTTTCTTGGTAGAATCTTGCTTGAATTCAAGCAGCCGCTAACTCGTAGCCGTGAATTCAAGGCACTTCTTCATTTGTCAATAATTATTGCTATTCACCTTCAAATAAATGCAATTAATCCATAAAAGTGTCAAGCGGAAGAGTAAAATCGTTATATTTATTATGAGTATATTTTTTGTGTAACGTCCACTTCCTTTTACAATTTGGTCAACAAGTATATTTCTTCAAATTGAAGTTGGAAATTCTTGGTAATAGGTTCACTAAGGTTTTATGCATTCTGTCACTATGAGACATTTTGCTCATGAGGCTTCATCCTGACATTATATTTGACAAGCCTTTTTTTGATTTGCAGCGAGCAACTCAGTAATTTTGATTTTAATGATGGGCGTCATGTATCCATTCAATCTCCTACGACACCTACTAGTTTGACAATTCCACACAGACTCTCAAATGAAATGAGATCACAATAGATTTAGATGGATTGTGTTTGTGACATAATGAGACACTTGTTCTCGCAGGGCTTTTCACTTTAGAATTTCTATAGCATACAGTAACTCTCAAAGGTCGAAATCCGAGTAACAACCCACGCGTTTCCGCAACGGAGGAATTTTTCAAATTCAGAGGGAACGTATTTGTTGACTCAAAACACAAGTTGGACTTACGATCGGAGCCTCTGTGGCCAAGGCCAAGGTTCTCAAAGGTCCAAGGCTCCGGATTTTCAATCGACAGACAAACATGCTCTTTTTAAGAAACCGGCTTTGAAGTATAAGTACTTGGAAAATTTAAAATAAGTTTTAAACATGCGTGACAGATCGCAAGGTCACTTGTTGTTTAACAATTTGCGCTTACAATTGAGAGCAAAAACTGTTCATATTGTAGGAAGTTCGAGTTTTAAGAACTTGGCCTGAACAGAGAAAGTTATGAAGAAATACCCTTCAGCAAATTTTAATTAGAAAATAAGAAATTATAGTTAAGATAAGAAAACTGTCTTTAAAATAATTTTTATAAGAAAATTAATAAGAAAATTTTAGTAAAATTATGAAGAAAAATTGTTGTTAAGAAGTGGCTCGTTCTATTTCCAAAATGTAAGTGATGCAAATGACAAGTAAATGCGCCAAAACTTCTCTTTGATAGAAGACTCCTCCTAAAACACCTGTTTTGATTTATCGCTCCTTAAATGGAGAAAATATACTACTGTATATAAAAAACCCAATAGAGGAAGGGGTCGGAAGCCTACTCCCCTAGAAGTTGGTGCCAGTGAAATACATTTGTCGAGTTTGCTTTAAAATTGTTGCAAAATTTGTTTCTATGCTATTGCGAATAAATCTGTAAATATATATTCATTTATCATACATTTTTCTGCAAAATATAATAACCTTCCACCCTCTAATAATGGGATTGTGTATTTTGTTGAACCTCCAGAAGCAAACTACAAAGATTAACCAGAATGCAGAAAACACCAAACCTAGCCTTATTTGTCTTGGTGATTCCATTTAAAAAGTCTCTATTTGTCCTAGATTAAATTAAACTAAAATTACAATCAACCGTAAAAGGACCGTTTTCAAATGCTTGATAAAGATCCATAAATCATCTAAGTATTAGGCTATCTATTTACGAATAAACCCTACATACCTGAAACATCAGTTAAGTTTAAGTTTCTGTTTTTCTCAATTTTCCATGGAGAGTCAAGTTCACCATGGTTACTCTTTCCTTCTTTTATGTATGATTGCGGATATACTAATCCAATGAAAAGCGTTTTATTACTAAACGGTTTTATAACATAAAATTCGATTCAGTATTCATGCGCTAGAAATAGGACATTTCTACCTGGACATTACACGCCAATAAGCAAATAATTTAGCTCTCATAAAACTCTCGTCATGTGGTTATTTTCATTCAAAATTTTATATTTATTAAATTCTAATTTCGTTGAAAAGTGATGAAGACAGAAATATAGTTGAAAAGCTCATGGAAGCTTTCGATGTTCTTTGTCATATGAATTCTTTCATCATCAGCAACCGTAAAGTTCACGAACTTTCGCCGTGACCCGACATGAAGTTTCTCGAAGCAGAAAAGGAGAGCCATGTACTGCCAAAAGAAATAAACTGGGTACTGCATTCAATTGTCAACCATACTTCACTCTAATTCACAGAATTCTAGGCATTCAAAATTTGCACAGTTTTTGTCATTGATCCACCAATCCGATCCCTGTTGTTCCTTTAAAACAACACCCCCCTCCCACTGACCACACTGGTGTGGGAGGCTGCCACCGAAGATTGTTTGTAAAATAGATGAAATGGTAATCGAAAAGTCTCTTAATGTGGTTCCTGAAAGAGTAGGAGAGCTGAGCCCCCAAGCCCCGTCTCTGCCCTCCTTGCTCTTCTAAAGATATCGCAAAAGTGTACAAATTATTTACAATTCTAATCAGATTGAAAATAAACACCCTATATTATCAAATATGCAGCCAATGGCGCTAATCGAAGCAGAAAGGCCATGCCCCAGTGATGAATTCTTTAAAATGCCTGTAGTGACACAAATCAATTTATTTATTAAGTCGATACGTTGCAAACTTTCAGAAATAATATTCAGTCTTAACAGCGTAAGCATGTTCATGTCTCCAGGTGCCATCGCAAATGACATACTTTAGCTTCTATGATTTTTTTTTTTCATGAAAATTGCCGATATTGAAGCATGGATTTCTTCGCACCCTCAATCAAAGTGATAAATTTTGCAAATTGCCATTCACTTATGTTCAGGTATGAGCAGGTGCCAAAATAAAAAAGATGAAATTTTCGTTTTTATATGATGGCAGCAGCACTTCCCGCATGCACACCCCCCCTATTTCTTGCCTTCTCCTACAATCAGAACATGTGCATAGTGTGGCCGTGTCGGACCTGCCGCCGTATCCCCAAGGAGCCGTATGATTGGCTCATTTCTACCGTATGAATAATTGAAGCGAAATAATTTGCACGTTTTGGTTGGACGTGATTGTCATGCAAATGAGCCTGTCATGGTTCGTGTTATTTCATTTTCCCGCCTGTCAGCATCACGCCTAAAAAAGGCGTGTATTTATCTGAGGGAATATTAGTCATTCTCGACACTCGACTATTTGCGTCGTCATTCGGCTAGTCGCACTCCGCGTATAAAGTATCAAAGTTTGGTTGGTCGTAGCGCGGGTTCGTTTTATCAATACGGGGCATCGGTGAATGAGGACTTACTGCAGTCAATAAAGCGCTCGTATCGAATAAAGAGAAATAACCACAAGAACGTAAGTGTCGGAAAGACAATTCTTCGAAACATTTGCCAAGACAAACTCATTCTTCCAACCTATTCTTTGATCAGACTGAAACAGGCAGGTCAATAATCACTTGTGTCAAAAGACGTCTTTGACTCCGAACAATTCGTTTGAACACACAACTATTCAAGTTGAATTCTTTAATATCGCGCTATGCAGACAATAGTTGTTTGATCCTCTCTTGTCTAAGAACATTCAGTACATAGACAGGCAGTTGTTTTTTTATCATTCACGAGAAGGACATTGATTGTTGCCATCTTTAGCTGTGTGCTTTATTGACCCGAAATCAAAGTCAAGAATCATGGGAAAGACAGATATTCCTCCAAGCGACGTTACACATGTGAAAAGGCCAATGAACGCATTTATGGTCTGGTCTCGTGGTATGAGGAGAAAAATGGCTCAGGAAAACCCGCGTATGCACAACTCTGAGATTTCCAAGAGACTTGGCGCTATATGGAAAGGTTTGACAGAACAGGAAAAGAAACCGTTTATCGACGAGTCGAAACGTTTGCAAGCCGTCCATATTCAAGAACACCCTGACTACAAGTACAAGCCAAAAAGACGAAAGCCTAAACAGATAAAAAAGGATATTCTTTACAACTCATATCCAAATCCAGTTAGTGCTGCAATGATGGGAATGGACGGAAAATTTCCTGGTGCAATGGCCCAGCTACCACAAGGTATGAACTTTGGTATGAGCCACGCTAGTATGCAAGGGGGAGAATCTATGTATGCTAAATTAAATCAGGCTGGCAACCCATTTCACCCATCCATGGCACCAACATATCCAGTTATATATCCTAATTTTAACATGGGTAATATGAATATATCACAAAATGCCAGTGGCTCTCCTTCACCAAACTCAATGACAAGTCATAGATACCCGACAACGACCATGGTATCTGCGACAGAGAGCCCTGCCCACTCATACCGTAGCGACTACATGAACGGGGCTGCCAAGCATTACAGCTACCCAACACAACAAAGCCCCTACTCAAGTCCCCCAGTCCAACAGCAGCAGGCTCAGACACAACAAACCCAGCAATCAACCACACAGTTACGTTACCCTTCAGCTGAAGATCAGCAACGGTCCGTCATCTCATCGACTGATGCTGTAATTAGCAAGGCAAATTTAGGCGCTAGTACCACAACAGGCAGTTACACAATCACGTCCTCTGAGAACATGCATTCAACGTCCGTTAGTGGAGGGGCAAGGGTTTGGCAACCCCAGCAAGACGTTTCAAGGCAAGTGGCATATGTACCTGTGTTACTTTAGATGTAATGAATCTTTGCACTACATGACACTGGCAGCTTCGATGCTAACGATTTTGTGTATAGAACCTTAAAAACTGGGGCTTTCGTGTAAATGTCATTGTTTTTAGATATAAAGTGCTCTTAGATGTGGAGGCATGAGGTATTGTAAGTAGATTTTTACGTAACTGTCAACATGAACGTCTTTCGGCAGGTAGGGTTTTTATATCACTTCGATCAACCTGCACGCATTCAAACCATGCCGCCATTGCAAGGAGGTGAAAGAAAGCACGTGAGTGCACCTTTGCTTAAAACGAGCCAAGGTTTCTCTGTCCGAATCTCATTGTTGTGACTTGAATAGGGAAGGAACGTAACTATTTATGTCTTTTGTTTGAAGAAATACCCGTACTATATTACAGCTTTTTGTTTATGTGTTTTTAAACACAGGACATAACCACAAAATGCACAAGTGCTAGGAGATAGCAACTCGTTGAATCATTTTTCTGGTTAACAGCGTTCAACATAAACCTTTATAGGTAGCCCAACAAATAACGCTAGAGAAATTTCTTTCATACGTCATGAACAGAGTTCTTCCCATACAATAAGCCGTTTTGTTATTCTTATTAAGTTTGTTTTGATTGTTATTGCCGGCCTGATTCACTAAATGAATTTACGTCTTTCCTTTCATATTTTGAATACGGCCCTATGACACGCTTTTTTGGTTTAACGTACAAATGAAATCGCCCACAGGCAGGATTTTTATTGACAGAGCATTAATTGAGGAAGTGGAAGGTTGTGTGATTTAACAATTTTAAGCATGAACCTTGAAATGTTGATTGACACTTGAGATGGAGAGCAATCTTCTAAGGGCATTTGAAACATTCGGCTTTCTAGTTTGGACTCTTGTTTTAGTGAAGAATTTCATGCATGGTGATATTGAATTTATTTTTAGCATTAGAAAATTAACTATGTTTCTTTCCATGGTTATGAATTCAGCTAAAAAGTATTCACACAGAGCATTTTAATTCCTTTGAACTTTCCAAAGGGGAATAACAACTTTTTATGAAGAAACTCGGGAACTTCGTATGAATATCACAAAATAACACTAATTTTGGATTTTAAATCGCCAGAAAGAATTTGAACACGATAGTTTTTACCATGAGACATTTTTCTGTCTTTTTCAGTAATCAGACAACCGTGTTATGACATCATGAATTTTAGTACATCACTTAAGTCTGATGAGATAGCTTCCTTATATTTTTCGTGATATTATCCTAGTCAAAATCTCCTAATTTGCACATAGAGTCTGGAACGTTATTTTAACCACTTTATGGATGGTTTTATTGCTTCTTGCTTATGTGCTTGTCGTATTCGTACCAATCGAAAATTTGCTTCATATTAAAGTTTTAGTTATTTGAGTTCCCTGAAGTTTTAAAAGTCTGAAATGACAAGGCAATCATTCAAAATTCATCGATCAAAAAAAACAAAAATTTTGTAGGTATATTTTCAAACTACAGGCATTTAAGAACAGCCAATCTGAAATCATGGTAGATTTTTGGCGGGCATTTACCCATGCACTTTAAAACCATGCAATTTCAATTCCATTGCTAAAATGAAGTAAGATAGGAGTCTTTCTTGTTCTAAGATAAAAACCAAAGCTTTCTGGAAATTGAATTAATGCAACTATTTTAGTGTTCCTCGGAAGTTTCCTTTATTAATGTATACTACTCCTTGGTTATTTGGTTAATTGGGGTTGTTACGAATTCCCAAAAGGGTTTTTGTTACAAGTCACTTGTCCCTGAACGCCTGGCAGAAATCGTATCGGAGACCCGTAGAAAAGTATACCCATTTCTTAAGTGCATATTTACAGAAGACTGTGGCTTACATGGTCAGCCACTTATAGGAGTACTGTATTTAGTGTAAGTCCGCTTTCCACGAGATTGTATTTATGAATTTACACAACCGTACATTTGTACCAGTATTTAATGTCACTATTTTGGTGCTCTTACGCAGCCAAGAAGTATTCTTGCATCGTCATTGTAGATTAGTTTATAGTAAAAAAGACTTTGTACATCCTTGTGTTTTGCGAGGGAACCTTTATTTTTTAATCAAGTCATTTTTATTTGAGACTCGTGTAAGTTAAAAGTTTTTGCATATTTGCTCTTAACGTCGCTAGATATAAATTTTCAAATGTGAAGCCTGCATGTTCAAAACATGAGGTCACGTGCAAGTTACAGGTTGGCAACCAGTACAACACACGCTTGTCATCGTTGCCTCATGATTTGAGTTGGAGGGCCTTTTCTAGTTTGGGATCAGCAGTAAAAATCCGAAAGTCGAAGAACAAATATTAGAAACAGAGATAATATGTTGATCTTTTCATTCATGCTCTGTTTTCTTTTTAGTGTTTAAAAACACAAGTAACATCTTGTTTCACAAATAACATGACTTCTGGTCTTGGCACAAGTTTGTAAACAACTTATTAAGAATCTATGCCCATCCATTTTTGAAGAAAACATATTCTCTACAATACAAAAAATTGTGCAGATTTGTATTCTTTTCCTTCGAGAAAATAAGAAAAAGTTGCTAAGTTTCCTTGTGACGATTAAAACCGTTAAAAATGTCAATTTTCAATAATTGATTAGTGTTAAGTAATCTTTGGAGGTTTCCCTAATTCGGAGTATTATGCTCATCATCATAAAATCTAACCGCATGTGAAGGATACAAATACTGCCTGTCTTTTTGTGTGGGGCATTGCTACTTCTTTCAGTGAAATTCCATGAACATTTTAGAATAAATGGAACGCCAAAATAGCATAAATCATACATTTGTTCATAGTTCTGGTCACTTCTTCATTGAAGAAATACTCTAAATTTATTGTAATCTTTTCGAAGATTCTTTTTAAAACGATTTTGCTGAGCATTTAAATGTATGTTAAGGAACAGCTGCTGCCAGAATAGGAGCTGACTGAAGTTCTCAGTAAGGTCACTTTTATCATAGCAGTTGGCCCATAAGTTGCCTTTTTAAAAGGGTGGTTGCAGCACCTTTTATCAATCAGTTTACATTAATTGATTCGTTTACAGCAAGTGACACTTGACAAGCAAAGCCATTCTGAAAGTACTACATACCAGCAATATTTTCCTTGTGCTTCCAGCATGGTCAGTATGAAATTGATTATGGCATGTTCGTTTCTAGGCAACAAACCTGTTACTGCTGGTATCCATTGCAAGTTTTGACGATGGTCTTTTCATATTCCCAAAGATGAAATTAATCATTTCATTCTATCCAAGTGTTTTCAAATAACAAAAGTTTTGTGAAAACTATTTTAACTGAATTCAATGTAACATCCTTTTGGTTTCTGCTTGCCTACCGATATTTTCAGTAGCTTCAAACTCAGATCCAACATCGATGAATGTATAAGAGATTTTGCAAGTAAAAAGATTTTCTTACGTAATCACTGCTTGTGATCAGAATAAAATGAAAATACTGTCAACGTCTTATCACAAGCATTGATTCAAGGGTACACTCCTTTTTATAAGAGCCAGTAAATACAAGTTCAGACAGGCTGCTTTTAATTTTTCCAAACTTTTAGGCTGGCTGGATTGTTTTTAATTTGTTCACAGCGTTAAGCAAAATTACAATTTACAGTACAGCTTCAACTGGTTCTTAATATGTTCTTAGCGTTTGGCCAATTTTGAGTCTCGTGTTCTTATAAATTTGTTCTTATAGAAAAGGGTGCATCTTATTTTGGTTTCAGGAAGTACCAAAGGCAGTTATTTCCAGCATCCCAGACTGTGTTGATTTCTATTTTGTCTTGATCTTTTCATACAAAATGAAAATTTTATTTCCAATGCCAAAATCCCCATCTTATGTATCTCTGCTCTGTATGATAAATAATGCCTTTATTCATTATGCACGATAAAAGGTACTCATCAGTATCAACATAATGATAATAACCTACGAAAATCGTTTTTTCACTTTGATAACAATGCATGATAATATTTTCTCAGTATATGGTCAGATTCGATAGACTGGTTTCAAAAAATCGTTCAGTTCAACCTTTTTGTCGTTCTTGCCACAAATTTTATGGCCCTAAAATTCAAATAAGTAGTTGGCTTGTGAACAGGCTTTTGTAAGCTTACTGCTACTGAAGCTTAAAGATGTTTTGATTTTATAGTAAGTCTTTTAAAAACTATCCAGTATTAAAACGGTATTTCAATATGTGACGTATTTTCAATATCTGACGTGTTACCACGAGGTAGTGGAAACTATAACAATTCATCTAACAGTGTAGAAGCAAATTGACGATAAATAAACAAATAGAAAGCTTGACTATGAAGCTTGGAGCTCTGACAGTGCTAATGTTTGCCAGGAAGGTAAACATCTTCTGTAAACTGCGGCTTTCATTCAGTGTGCTTGCTGAATGAATGACCGTCCCCTTACCAAACAAATGAATTAGAAATACATTTTTAGTCCATGTGGCTACAAATGCCTTCGAACAGGCACCGCGCAGCCATTGGGGTAGCGGGGGCAATAGCCCCCTCCCCACCTTTTTGCAATAATAGGCTAGAAAATGTTTTACAAGGTTTACTCTAACGCAACTTTGGATAGTGCATGTGTTGGATATTTTCTATGTGTTTTTATCTTGTTTAATGACATGATGCATTTTCTAACTTGGTTAGCTTGGTGTTTTATTACCTTTCTTAAAGTTATTGATATCTTCTTTGAACCAGACTGTTTCAATAAAAATTCAATGTGAATAGGCAAGTATTTTAAAAAATGAGCATTTTCTGGCCTCAAAAGTTTCGGGCACGCCCATTTCAGCACCTCCACTCTTGACTGGTGCGCGGCTCTTAGACTTGCATCCATGCTCTATTTGTAGTCTGTTCTTCTAAACCATGTTATCAAATATATCTATATTTATAGATTTGTAAACAATGGTTTCTACCTTTTCAACATGAAATAAAACAAACAATTATTGAACCACACCTTTTACTGAACTGATTGCACTGCCGTCGGAACGAAATTCATATTGGGGGAGGGGGGAGGCTGCCCATTGTTTTCTTTTTCATTCACTACACTGTTATAAAGAAAACATACTGCAGTTTGACAAATATTGGGGGGCTCCAGCCACCCCCCAGCCCCCCCTCCCCGATTCCGACGAGCCTTGATTGCCAGTATGATTCTTTTCTTATTGTCCCTTTGTGATCAAGGGAAGAAGATTCATTTATTTTTAAGATCTGCGTGAGAGGTCTTTCAAATTCGATTGCGTTTATTTTTTCCGACATCAGTAAATATGGAATCAGTCGCATCTGAGATCAGTGATAGAGGCTAGGCAGCACAAAACTAGGCCGTTTTAAAATAGACTTGCTACAATTATATGAAGAATGGCTAGCTTGGGCCCCAGACTCTATTGCAAAGGGCCTGGAGCTCAGACTAACGATGACGTATTGTAGCTACTGGCCGTGGACGTCATGATTCCAGACCTCTTGTTGATGAGACCAAAACTTATGTTTTGTTGAGAACCAAATATCTTGAAACCGAATGTTGATGAGACCAGAGATCCTGATAACTTCTTAAATCCGTAAGGAAGGAAAATACTGCGTTTTGCTGAAAAATCTGCTTTTATGAAGATATAAATTTCACTTTCCTGGAGTCAGCTGAAGCCATCTGAATATAATGGGCACCATTGTCTCTAAAGCAAGAAAAAGTACAAACTATCTATTTTAATTCTTGGTCAAAGTACCAGCTTTGTTGTTGCAAAAAATTCGTACTGTTGTTTTTGCCATATTTTTTGCGAGGGTCTCTCTTGTTCTTCTGACAGCACGAATTTCTTTTTATTGGGTGAATCAATTTCCAAGCAATATATTTTCTTGTCTAGCAAAAGCCTGACTAATTGGCTCAACTTTACTATGAAATAAAAAACAAAGATATTTTGTAAAAAATAGTTTTGTTCTCTTGCCCACTCGTTATGTTCTTTTTCCCTATGTTTGCATCTTTTCGCTCTCCTTTCCTCTTAAGATAAGAGCCCCCTCCTCTCGCTTTGATTATTTGGAAATTACTGACTGTCCTTTGCACAAACTATATGACAAAATTGTTAAATTTTTTAGTCAATCTGTTTGTAAGCGTACATTTGCATAAATAGTACATTTGTTAGAGGAGTCTGTTTTGGAAGATAGGAAGAAAAGTTCTTCCTATTCGGGGTTTCTTAAAACCTTGCCTATCAGTAAAGTGCTTGTTTACGTATCATATCACATTCCCCTGGCTACTTTTATTTCAAGACCCTAGTTAAAATTTCATTTACGAAATTTTTATCAATGTTTTATGTACGAATTACAATTGTAATGCTTTAAAGCCAGTTTTCTCAAAACAATTTTGCTAAAGCTGTCTCTCAAACATTCAGTGCAAAAATGTCTGGTATCTAGAAAATAATTGATTGAAAATGTATCATGTTTGCAATAGATCGGTATATTAGATCAGCTTATTCAGTTTCAAGTCATAGAACTATAAAGTTTAGGTTGAAGATTTTTTTAGATGATAGATAAAAGTTACAATTTTTACTGTTTTCCATTTTTTGTACAACGCCATGGCTTATACGTCTCAGTTAAGAAAAAAAATCAGAAAAGAGTGTCTTGCTCTTTTTTGAAGTTTTTATGTGGCATCCATAAGAAAGTTTCAAATGATTTTGCCTAACTTCGTTCATGTTACAGCTACTCGAAAGTACACGGGGATTTTGTAGAGAAAAAGACAATTTCTGATTTTCGTAAAATTGTCACATTTTAAAGGTTTACCTAACAAGCTGCCTTGATAAGACTTAAGAGTCTTTAAAACCCCCCAACCTTCCTCCTGGCCACGCAGCTGCAGGGGGCACGGGGGCTGTGCCACTGCTGCAAAATGAAAGTATTGACGACAGCTATCCCCCCTAGCTTTTCCAAATGATATTTTTAAAAGCTGGCATAATTATATTTCTGTGAGCTTGATTTATTCCAAATATATCTGTTTGTTATATATCTGCTCTCTTGTTTTAAATCCTGCCCAATCTCCAGCTACGTGGTTTGTTGTCCTCGAAATTTTCCATTTATCCTTTTAATTAGTCTTTAAAATTTGTCAGAGAAAAAGTTTAAGCAAACGGTAAATCCTCGCTTTTTACATACTTTTGTGTCAAGTTATGCATTGGCCCTCCGCAAAAATGCAGTATCATTGGACAACTTTCCCCGGCTTACAGCCGTGGGGCTGAATTGTTTTCTGGACTCTTATAAGACTGATGCAGGCCGAATTACTGCTGGGTTTGTTTTACTTCAATGCCAAGCTTGCAGATGACAGATTTTAATTTTCTTCATATAAATCATATAAGTAAAACTTCTTCGC